CGAGTGAGCCGGCTGCCACCAAGCGAGCACCATTTTGGCAGTAGTTTCGGTCTCGGTAGCAGTAGATGGGACAATGGAGACAGACTACTGACTCTTCGTTCTGATCCTCGCTTGTTTCTTTCGAGTACAAGTTTTCGTCATTCGAAAAGACAGCCTGCTACCTGGCGTCCGCCTTCTCAAACACAATAATGCTCCCAGCTTGACCATATAATAATAAGCTACACATGGAGCGGAAGCGTAACAGACTGCCGATCGTACTGGTAAACTTGTCTGGACTCCGATCACGCACTGGTTCGGGCCAAAATTTGCATGCGTTTTGGAGGATAATCCAGACGTACGCACTACCGACCAAATGTCGAACATCTGCAACATTCTGCGAAGTTAGCCAAGTACCAAGCTTCTCTGTCAACACTACGTATTTTTACATATTTACATAAATTTACATATTTACGCGTAGTCACCACCAGCCCAGGAAGCACCCGAAGTTCATGGATACAGAGAAACACAAATTTAAACTCAGCTGAGCCGACTGATTCACCTTCAGACTGCAATTTTGTGAATTCCAGTGTACTGCCAAAGATTCTTGAAATCGTCGGATGGCCGTTTTATTTTACTGAGACATACCAGCAACGTGCATGTCTTTGAATATTAGGGAGATCAGGCCCACGACCACTCTCCAAGGATGCAGTAATTCAGACCATCAATCGATGGATGATGATGATACAAGGAAGTGATGACTGACCACTTGATGCGATGGAAATTGACTTACCGGCGACATCCGCTTTAGGACTGAGTTCTCGACTGCAAACAGCCACAGAACACCTGTGCCAGCAAAGGGACCGTGGGACGCTCGCGCTGCACCACACACAGTTCAATTACAAATATGAAGTAGGTTACAAATGTGCGGAGTACGAGTCTCAGCCAAACACTGAAAAGTGTCTACGTTACTTTCGAATGACCGTCCGATTTTCGGACCCTATGAGAAGATCTGGTGTGCCTGGCCGAAGCCGCTTTCACCAAATTCAGTCTTCGAGTAGAGTTGACGATCTGCAATAGTGCTTCAGTTGCTCGAGACAGAATACTGAAAGCACGCTACATAAACATATGCCGTATGGATATTTGACCGTGATGCATTCGTGTTTGGCTTAACGGAACAAACAGTGGGGTAAAAATGAAGGTCTCTTCCCAATCCTAGCCAGACAACAGGACTAGTAATGGTAGCGAACGCTGCGATTAGAAACGTGGAAAGAGCTAGAGAAATATTTATTAAAAAATCAAGCTAGCTGCCAAGACAGACCCAAAATAGAGAGCACACCTTTTGGCGGTGTTTTGATGCCTTAACAATTGCTCCAGAAACAATGTGGAAAAGGAGGGGTGTCGCGAAACATAGGTGCAATAGAAGCGGCCGGTAAAAAAATTCAAAAACGGGTATTCAAATCGTGGTGATAGTTGTACAATCGTGCTGGGAAAACAGCGGTGAAGTAGGTAGAAGAAGCATGCGATCGACAAATTACTGTCGCAATAATCTATGACAACAGCGTTTTGAAATGTGACTGGTAAGTGTTGCTCGGCGCAGGCCACTTCGATAACACCGACATATGAAGCCAGAAGCAGCTAGACTGGAAATAGAATTCAGCATGCAATCTAGCATGGAAAGAACAATGCACAAACGTCAATAAAGGCGAGCAACAAAACTGAACGGTCACTGGGTCAAGGAGAGACGGCTACATAAGTACTAAGCCGCGAGAAGTCACGCGATGAATCCGTTTGCAGGAGGATCGATTGTCAATGTGACCAGCAGTTAAAAATGTGGTCGATGCATAATGTCCAACAGATGGGATTTGGATAAAGTTTAGTCCGCTGAATGGGATTCTAATCAGAGTGTGTCGGAAGGCGTCGAAGGGTGCAGAGAGAATAAACCTGCCTCAGTAACAACCTACGGTTAAGGAGGAATATGCACACACGGAAGAAATATGAGAACGCACTCGAGTGTTAAGCAAATGGTCAGAAATCAAGGCAACGTAGAACAAGTTTAAACGGGAAATAATAAATAACACTCAGGGAAATGGAGAACGCCAACGAAGATGTTGGATTGCTCTCAGACCTCAGAGACAAGTGACGTTGTAGACAACAGTGTTGTTGACTCATTCAGTGCATGTGTTCCAGGAAAGTGAGACAATGTTTAAGAATTATGAACGATTGGTACACATCCGGTAAAACTCGCTGAAAACTGGACTAAGCATCTAGATGAGCAAATCTGCCGGACTGCCGCATCGGATTAAGTGAGTAGATCACGTGGGTCAGCAAGGGATGCCGATGAAATAATACGAAAAATACCGAGGCGGGTCAAGAAAAAGTGCCGCAGAAGTGGAACAATGTGCGGTTATAAAATGACTTAATCGTTGCTGAAAGAACGTGGAGACACACTCTCCACTGCTACGGCTGCAAAGAAGTATACTAACACGGGGGTGTAAAAATCTCATTGACCATGCTGAATTCTGGTGCTGAACACCACTACTGCGTCGAGAACCACAACATCTGGTACCTACCGAAGAGATCAGGACCTTGCCGTAAGATCCCGAGGCAGAACCACCGAAAAGCTACGCTTACTCGTTCTGCGCAAACCCGTGAAACCCGTGAAACCCGTAAAGCCGGTCTACAAAGATCATATATGTAGTGGTCTCAAAACGCTGCTTTTAAAAAGCTACGATGTTCAAGACCAATTAGTCTGTAGTCGAAATCCCCTACTACATTTGTTCAACACTGTACTGGATATTAAACAGTCGAGCCAATAGTTAGGACTGGGAATCCTAGAACGAAATCACTCTCCTAGAGTAGACAAACGAAAAGTACAAACTGCTCGTGAAAGCCTGTCGCTAGGGTTTCTTCAGCATCCGCTTTGTGACTGAAAAAATCCAAAAAAGTGTCAACAGAAGCAGACGAGTGGGATGTATTGCATCCCCACACATTCACCATATTCCCAGTAACAACAAGGAAGAGACAGCAGCAGGTGATGAGAACAAGAACCGCAACGACTGTACAGTAGACCCATGTCCAAGCACATGAGTAACAATAACAAAAAGGAAAGAGTGAGTTAGAGGAATGGAAGCAAAGTTCCATATGTTGTGTAAGTATTGAGCTTCCCGGTTGCCCTGGCTGAGGAAGAGCAGAGTGTACACAACCCAGGGGTGCTTCCGCACAGCATCTAGCTAAAGTTACGACCCTTGGAGACTTCGGATATAATGCGCAGCGTGCGATTAGAGGCGGTCAAATGAGAAATGCACATAAGCCGTTCAGCGTAGCCATATCAAGGTGACATTGTACCGTATCACAAATAGGAACGATGGGAATTCTCGGCAGTGGCAATTTAAATGGTAGTACTATTAAGGACAAGCGGCATCCTAACCTTCGTAACGGATGTAACATAAGTAAAGATATAGTGGAGATGTAAGGTATGCAAGAACACACGTACAGCGGTCCAACTGTGGCAACAACGCGGTTGAGAAAAGCAACGTAAGCGACACCAACCCACCATTGAACCAACCAAAGAAACGCCACCACAAAGACAGTGAACTCTAACGAACGCCACCAAGATCCACTGAGTCACGGTGTACGGGACATTCCAAGAGCCTCCAGATCCACATAATATACAAGCCAGTGTTATCAAACAAATGAAAAGTCGATATACCATTCATCGGGAGTTACGGTGGCGTACTTGACCCACTTCCATAAAAAAACAGAGAGATACAACCGTCAACGGATAATATGCTTAACTCAGTTGGAGAAGGGTGAGAGCTATAGTTTCCTAAAACGGTGGGAGAATAAGAATGCCCACTAACTGAAGACAATAAGCCGTGAAACTTGATAAATCTTGCATGAGTTAACGTGGTTGCCCAAGTCAGAAAATTTTGTTCAGGATCCTCCAAGATTGTGGATAAAGGGTGTGGACAACATCTCGATGGGTCATGCTGTCATAGACCAGATTGAAAAATGCTCCATAATAGCCAGTGCGCAGCCGAGGAATCTCATATGCGCACTCTTCCTTTTCAATCACCATTCTCGCAATTAACCAGCAAGAGACCGCTGATAAGTTTGACCAAAGTAAGCAGGAGGTCAGGTTATTTACAAGCTCGGTGGGTCGTTCCGTGTTTATAAGGTGAGTATGCTGCGCCAAGACGACAAATCATTACAGCACTCACACTAATTGGTGTGACTTTTGGACCTTCTCAATACTTCAGTAGCTTCTGGAGCCCGAGAATTGTACGCTTGTAGGTTAAGGCAGGGGCGCACAACGCTGTAGTGTAGCAAGCGTTGCTGCGTGGATCATTTCAAGATAATGGGTAAAAGGTCGCCTTTGATCACCGCTACTTCCGTAGTACTATTCAAGTCCAGCAAAGCGGTGCAAGGCAGGAAATGCTAAGGCCATTAGTTAGCTGTTGGTAACAGGTCTTTTAGTGTCACATATGTGTACGTGCGGTGTGTGTGTGATTCAATCGCACCGCCTATGGGCGAGAGACAACTGCCCTCGCACGTCTGCCAGCCGGTTGCACGCATGCTTATTGCTTGCGAATATTAAAGAAGAACGAGGAAACCCAAGGTGTCGCCAAGAAAGTCATCGAAAGAGGAGGTAGAATTGGTGTAAGCTAGATGGGATATGGCGCGGCAATGAAGACAGTGACGCCACTGCATTCTTTCAAGAGAAAGGAAACATTTTGACAAATATGTGTCATTAAATGTCATATCAACGGGCAAGATAAAACCCAACGAAATCCAGATTGAGTCACTGTGAGCCTGGAGGATAGTTAGACAGAAACATGGCAATAAGGCAGTCCTAATAGAAAACACACACACACACACACGACCAACGACATAGGCACAAATCCGATAAACCGCTTCGAATGTAATTCGCGGTATCGAGGCGCGCCAGGGAGTAATATCAGTGGCAAACTAATCCAAGTACGATCGAAACAAGTTAATAAAGGATGGTGACGCCGATTTACCTCGGAATTGAGAAAATTGATCATAGCTTTCTCTGCTAACATCTTGGATTCCAGAAACTTCTCTTCGGCTATCTTCATCTCTTCATCCGACAACTTCGTAGTGGCTGTCGCTGCGGAAGCAAATGACAAGCGTTTAAGGAAAACGCGCAAAAAGGGTCAACAAGGGATAACCGCGACTTCGCCAGAAGGAAACTTGTGTCAAGTAGAAGAATGAGAGGAGGAAAAGCAGATAAGGAGCAACCATGTATGCCCCACCAAAACGGCGCAACAGGGGCGGAGAAACTGATTTGTCTGATTCGCCAGACTAGATACAACAACACAAAGTGGCTATCTAATTGTGGGAGTGAAGCATGAAGGAACACAATGGAGCAAAAAGCATTGCCACTGGCAGCATTATGGGTTCATCAAAAAGGACGGTTGAAGGAAATACAAAGAGTAATTCGAGTAGGGCAACGAGGGATGAAAAGCTCAGAACTCTCTCAAATCAAAAGGGACGCCATAGCAATGACATTGAACTCTAACGAAAGCCACCAGGATCCAGTGAGTCACGCTGCAAAGGATATTACAAGCAATGTTAGAACCACATAATGCAAAAGCCAGTGTTGTTATCTTCGCAAAGAAACACGACGATCTAAATGACCGCAGTAGTGGTTCGGACAAGGTATACTTTTATCGGAAACTTCACCAGCTTTTGAGTAACGCTAACTAATCGAATGTCGTTGTCATTGCTGGGGGTTTCAATGACGGGTTGGCCGCCTTTTACTATATGGACGTCACCTTGGTGGTCACCACGCGATCGATGAGGACTGCTCGGATAACAGACTTATCACATGGTATGAAGACAACCATATGTTTCTCTCGGGCACCACTTTCAGACATACAGAGAAACGTACCGGAACTTGGTGTTTGCTTTCGCCAACACAAGCGTGGTCTCAAATTGATCACTGTAATCAGCTTCAGACGGTGTTGCAACATACGGGACTGCAGGTCTTTTTACTCCACCCTCATTGACTCAGACCATGCGCAGATCTACCCAAGAATTTGCATGCTTTCGAGAGTTGCTAACAACGAAGCACGAAGAGAGTGACGCGAATAGATTAACTGGCCGTCGGTCCACGCAAGCTATCAGTCTTCACGGGCATACGCACTCAGATGCAAACCAGCGTAAGACACTGAGCAACACTGGACTTGCATACACGTGATGACCACTTCCGCACAATCCAGCTGCAGTCTAGCCAGAGGACTGTTAAAGAGTTGGATCCCTGTTCGCTCTCTGGAGCTGTTCGACCGAGGCAGTTATACGCCGCCAGAAGCGGATTGCAACAAGCCGCGCCGCTCAGTCAGTCGGTGCAAGCATCGCGAGGCTTGGTGATTTGAGGGTGCTTAGGAGATGGAGACCGCTGCCCTCTATGGCAACATTCGCAAGCTTTCCCAAATGATTCCGTTCATTAGCCGCAGAAAGACTAGTGTCAGTGAGGTAATTTGCAAGGCGGATGGAATTCCGAGCACTTTCAATGATAATTCAAATGACTTTCACCGCCCTTCCATGTGTGCAGTACACCTTGTTGCCTACCCCGGCTCGTCCCACTGGATCTAGCCGACGAAGTGGAAATCTGTCTCGAGATTCGACGTTTGAGGCGATTGAAGGCTGCCGGCTCAGACGGACCTTATGCGGAGCCGTCTAGGCACGGCAGCGTGGCATTCATTAACCAGCTGACCTCGTTATTCGCAAAAATCTGACATAAAGAAAGAGTGCCTTTGAGCAAATCAGTTATTGTCCCAATTTACAAGAAATGCGCTCGCACCTCATGTGTCAATCATCACGGGATTAGTCTTGTTTCGGTTGCCTCCAAGCAGTTGGCATCTATTCTGCTTCGTAGACTATATGCAGTACGTAAATCACACTACCGTGAAGAACAAGCTAGTTTCCGTCCTGGCCGTAGATACGTGGATCAAATCTTTAAGCTCCGCCAACTCCCCGAACATCGCCATATTTACCACTGGCCCACTATCGTCACATTCCTAGACATACAGGTCGCGTTTGGCTTGGTTGATCCACTTGCCTTATGGTGTGCCAGAGAATCGGACCGCCATCCTAAGCCTAAGTAATCTACATATCTCCAACAATTTGAGCGTCCACGGCAAGCTTTCCTCACCCTTCGCTGTCAATGGCAAAGGGGCTGCCCGACGTCCCCATTCCTACTAAGCTTAGCAATCGAAGACATCCTGTCGAGAGCTCAGGAAGGCTCCTAAAATGTTGGCTTAGTGCAACCGACTTAAATTATACTGATGATATCCCTTTACTTGGTGACGAATCACAGGGTATGGGGCTCATTCTGAATCGTCTGGTGGTTGAAGCATCGAAGTATGGCATAAACATCGCCTCCTCGAAACAGAAAGTGTTGCTCCAGGGTTGGCCCACATCTGCTTCCGTGTTTACCCTTGAAGGTTCACAACTTGAACGGGTGGATAGTTTCGCCTACCTTGGGTTACGTGTTTCTTCTGGCGGCACCATCAGCAAAACAGTTTCCATCGCATCGTTAAAACCTGATCAGCATATGTCAAGCTGAGGCACCTTTGGCGTCGTCATAACGTCTCTATTTAGATAAAGGGTCGCGTTTACACTGCCTCTATTTGTTTGGTGTTGTTGAATGGCTGTGAGTCCTGGCTACTTCGCGTGGACTGCATGCGCCGGCTTTCCACCTTCGACAACGGTTGTTTGAGAAGGATCGTTCGTGCGAGTACTCCTTTCAACAACCTGGTTTTGCTCCGCCAGTTGAGAAGGTTCGGACACGCCCTACGCATGGAGCCTGAGTGTTTGTCGCGCCGCACTCTATTCGCTCGCTCAGGAATGGGCTGGAGACGAACGCGTAGTGGTCAGCGTTCCACCTAGCGACAGCACAGGAAATCGATGACGTCACGCCTAGCCGCTGTTAGATCCATAAGTCTTCCTGTATAGGGACCCAAGGATAAGGAGCTGAATTGGCTTAACACGCTTGAAGATTATAGTCTGCAATCGGAATCAGTGGGAGAACTCTGTTCATGAGTGCACTGATTCACATGTGTAATGCCTGGAACATTAAGTGAAAAAAATCGGCGTATGAAAAATACAAAAAATGTGTCGGACTATTTTTCATGACATTGTACTTGCATTTCTTTCTCGTGGATTCTTTCGATGGCTACATGCCCACTTATTAGATGGATTTTATTTATTTATTTATTCTCTCAAGACGTCGTAACTAGGTAACGATGAGTAACAGTGGTGGCAGGTTCGTAACAGGGTGACATTAAGGACAACAGTGCTGTGATGTTATCGCATGGGGTCGGATTGTCTCAGATGATATGGTGCTCGTTTTTGACCCGAAGCGTAAAGTTTCATTCTTACCACCTTCAGTTACATCGATCTCAGGTTAGGCTCTTCGGAGAAAAGCCGTTTCTGGATAATCGGACATCACAATAATACGTAACAAATTTGGGGCCAACATAACGAAAAAATGAAGTCGCAGAAGGCCAATACAAGATCCACAGAGAATGATATAAAAGTCTGGTCAAAGCACAATGAGAACCGAGGCACAGATATGAGGTTTGGGAAAATCGGTCTATTCTGAGTTCGCCAAAGGCATTCGGATAATAGCCTTTGTATGTGGCAAGTTAAGAATTAAGAAATCTAGGTGACAGAACACTATTTTTCCATAAAGTGGCGTTGTGCATGGCTGATGAAGAGCAATACCTAATAAAAAAGTAATTTTGCACCAATTGAAGCCATGTCAACTGCATCTGAGTCGCAAAGAGTAGTGAATACTTAAGTATGCGAACATCAATACGCCACAGCAAAGTGGGCCAATTCTGTTCCACAGAAGCGGCAGTGGTGCCAACCACATCTGGTGATCATGAGGGAACAGTGAGCACGGATCAGATGGTGAATAACCGCTGTGAGGAGCAAAATGCGTTAATCATTTACGGCGTGCACTTCAGCGCAACAATGCGAATGTTCAATGGCGTGAGAAAGGAAGTCATTAGATTGGCGATCGAAAATTTCGCAGGGTACAATCGTAAACAGAAGACGGCAAAATAAGCACAATCAAAGGTTTAAGCAGGGTGGTGTGGTTTACCTTGCTTTCGTTTCTTGCAATCAAAGTCCAAGCGTCGGCCCTCAAGTTTCTTCCGATGATGCTGCAAGCGAAAGGAGTTGGAAACATCTCGATCAGACTGGACCATGGCACAATAAACTGGGTTTCACAGACGAATGTTCATTAAGACAAGTAATATAACTGCACAAAGCGCCAAGAAGATAGTTACTGACATGATAAATCGATACAAACGACTCTGAATGAAAGACGGCAGATTACCGTTGTAAGACATCCACCTTGCTGTCGCAATGAAACAGTGATTAAGCGGCAGAGGCTCCGGCTGAATGTATGTATATACACATATATATATATATATATATATATGTATATATATGTATATATATAGACGCTAATGGAAGTGCCCAGCGGTCCAAACGCCTCTACTTGCTGGTGGTCGGGGATCCATCCGCCTCGCAAATAACATCACTGAAGCCAGGCTTTCTGAAACCAGTCGGTCTAAACATTTAGAGAAGCTTGTGAGTGTTGACAGAGAGGGCAGCGGTCGCCATCTCTAAAGCACGCTCAGAGCACCATGCCTCGCGATCCTTGCGCCGGCTGCGCTTGAGCTGCCGACTGACAGAGCTGCGTGGCCCGTTGCAATCAGATTTTGCAGGGATATCTCTGTGGTGATCGAACAGTTCCAGATAGTGAGCAGAGATCCAAGTCTTTAAGTGTCGATTGGCTATGCTGCAGCTTGATCGTCTAGAAGTAGCCATCGCCTTCTGTATACAAGTCCAGCGTTGATCAATGTCTTGCGCTGGATTGCAACCGTGTGTGTATGCGAGTGATGGCTGATAGCTCACCTGGACCGATGGATCAATTAAGCTATTCGCATCAATCTCGTGGTGCTTCGTTGTTAGGAACTCCCGAAAACACATGCAGATTCTCGGGTTGGTTAGCGCATGATCGCAGTCAATGAAAGTTGACGAAAAAGAACTATGTTGCAACGCCATCTGAAGCTGATTGCGATGTGATCAATTTGAGAGCACGCTTGTGTTGCCAAAGTGGACGCCAATTGGCGGAATATTTCTTCGTATGCCTGAAGTTGGTGTGCGAGGGAAATAGAGGATTGTCTTCGCACAAGCAAGCGCGTGGTGACCACCAGGGTGACGTTCATATGGTAACAGGCGGCCAACCCGTGCAATGAAATCCCCAGCAAGACTAACGAGATCCGGTTTGTTCGCGTCACACAAGAACTGACGAAGGTCCCGATAAAAGCCGCCCTTGACCGAGCTACTACTGCAGTCAGTTGGAGCGTACGCGGAGATCACAAACAGGTTGGGTGTCTCCTCACGATGCTTGTTGATTCTACATGAACCCCGAAGCCGAACTGCACTCTGTCGGCTATTAATGGGGAATCAGTCCAGCAGTGCGGCCTCAGCTCTGTCACTTAGTGCTATACCAACACTGGCCAAGTCCTATACTTACGGCGGACATCTGGGATTTCGATTAACAGCCAACAACTGAACTACAAGAAAGCCAACACGGATGCAGCTGCACGTACATACCAACTGCAGCCACGATGTAGCATATGTGCCAAATCGACTGCATGGTTGGCCTGCGTTAGTAAATGGAATCGAAAACAGAGTAAGTACCAATCGTGGATGATCCTTAACCATTTAGCTGACAATTCGTCTCTTAGATATTGGACCCACAGGACCACGTTAATGGTTTACCAGACCGGCTTGGCTGAAGCACATACAACAGAAAATACCGCAGCAACAGACGCCTGACGTCGACGGGCTATCCTACATCGGCGCCTGCGACCTCGATAACTTACGCTTCGTACCTGATGTAACAAGACTTTCTTATGTACCTTGGGAACCACATCCTTTGTGTGGGCATACCTGCCTTAACGTCTAACGTTAACACTTGTTCGTGACGAAATACCCTTGACAATGTTTCCCTTCCCAGCATAAATTTGTCCATATAGCCCCTGCTTGGGTATCCTTCGTCCAATCTAAACGACTGACATGTCCGAATGACCTCAGGTGCTGCAGCAGATGTAGTCCACTGCACACATGCCACGTCGGCGCAGCAATTCCGTGTCCGCAACTCGGTCACCCCAACCAAATGCGCAGAATCCGTCAGATATATAGCGTCCTTTCGGTAGGTGGTTCACGTTTCGCTGCTGTATATAAGGAGGGACAACACCATCGAGAGGTACACCAATAGTTTCGTCTCAAAAATCAGTTGGTGATCCTTCCACACCCGAGTCTCCAGTATACCAAATGCAGCAGCCGCCTTCGATACCCAGATGTGCAGCTCGATCGTCATCTGAAGGTCAGTAAAAAAACGCTCCCGAGGTAGCAAAACCTCGAGGAGTTCTCGGAAACATCATCACCAATCTAAAATTGCGGCAACCCAACGGAAGGCACTTAGTGGTGCAGCGCAAATATCAGCGCGCGCACGCCCTGTTTTAACAATTCGGGCGGTATTCCGTCGGCTTCGGTGCACCAGCCGTTTCGCAACTGAGCAAGTGTTCTTTGTATCACATGCAGTGTCGGTGTGTTCCTTTTTGGTTGTTTCTTTTTGGCTGTTGCAGTCCATGCAACGTAGCCTGGTCAATCTCTGTAAGGTTCCTCAAGAGATACCGCGTAGATTACGGAATGTAAGCCAATGATTTTTGAACAACTTTTTGCTTCTGTAAAGGGAGGTCGGCTTATGTAAAGGTCAATGTGCAATTTGAAAGTCACATGCAAAACCCACCCGGGAATTCATTGCACACTTCTGTCCCTATTCCCCGTTAGCACCACTCGAAGTGACGGACGGTTTTCCAGACAGGGATTTGTAGTGTCTACAACTGGATGTGTTAATTTTGTGTGAAAAATTTCCGATATCTCGCACATTTGACGTTCGCAACGAATGGCAGTAGTGAATCAATAGCCTTTAAACATTACGTTACGCCACGCATCTGGTGCTTTAAAAGCACAAGGTCGTCCAACACCTTTGATAGTTAACTTCAGTCTCACCCACTGCTCTACTGTGGTTCGTATGCAGCAGGCCCACGACTAAGCGAGGCGGCCTGTCTGGTACTCTCGCCTTACCTTATGTTGTCGGCTGCCTTGCCTTTTTCATGTGACTTAACATCTGGTCAATACACTGTCCGGTGCGGTGAAAGTCTGGTCTGACGGTCTTATCCCCCATTAACCGCGATTATAACACATTACGGTTACCACCACCAAACAAATTAGAGCATGTTTCACTTAAACGCATTCGACTGAGAGCAGGTAGTGATGACGTCAAAATCGTGGAGAAACAATTTCGTTTCTCTTGCTGAATTTTTAGGGGTCGGCTAATACAAATTTGATGTTGCAGTTATACTATCGGCCTATCTATGGACGGGCTTATATTCGATAACGGTAATCGAAGGGCTTTCGACAGATATGCATATTTGCAGTCTGTCTGCAGGTAGCGCCTGAAGTAACATCCACTAGGGTTCTCAGAGACTGCAAGATGGGTTCATACACCGCCCTCAAAGAATCTAAGAATTCCCAGTTGGCGACGTCCGGCGTAGCTTCCCATCTGCTATGCCTTCTCTGTCCACCATGCATTCTTGATGCGACGAAGCTCTCGAGTCAACTACTGTCGAATTTCGGGAAACTGACTCTCCTTCACTGCATCAGTAGAGTCACCCACATGTGCAGCGAATGCCGCATTCTTTTCCGACATTAATGCGCCAATGGTCGCATCATCAAAGTAATCGAGCCACTTATAATTTGCGGGCCCGATGGTTTTCTCGGCAGCAGCTGTGGTGTCACAGGTCACTTAATGAGTCGATACAGTCAACAGCGCCCATGCGAGTAGCTATCGCGTGCTCAACCCTTCTCCCAACACCACCTAGTGAATGAAGGTTGAATTTGCACCGGTTCACCACAGGTGAGCAATACGCCATTTACGAAGATACATGTACACCTTGGGCTGCCCCAACTTGTGATCAGTGCGACCACCCTCACGCAGTACATATGTCAGACGCATTTCACGCATGACACGCTGGCGTACGATGACAGGTGAGCGTGACCACTCCGTGGGTGCGTCCAAGTAGCATTAACACTCGCACCCAAAGCGTACTAAGTGATCGTGATCGCCATCGCCAGGACCTGAGTGGCGCACAGTGAAAGAGGCCGGTCACCGTTTCCATTATCGGTGCTAATCCCATACGATCCGACGACGTCTGTCCAAACTGTGGTATCATGCGAAACGCGGGCGTTGAAATCATCTAGTAGAAACAGCTGGCCGCTCCTCGACACAGACCGCATTACGTAGTAAAACTGCGCATAAAACGGATCTCTCATGCCGTCAGGATAATACATGGTGGTACCATGCGTAATAATGAAAGTTGCAGTTACAACGTAAAAGGTGTAGACGAAAAGTCATCAATCGTGGGCTGATTCCAGTCGGCTTTCCCACCAGCTGGCCTGTTAGGCAGTCGGATAGTGTAAATCCGACCCCGTAATCACGTGGTGCTGTGGTGGCGTTTTCCACCCAGCAGAACGAGTGCCTTGTTCTATCCTTATGTAGTTCGCTTTGGTCAGCAAGCGGAGGCTCACTGAGTGTCGCAATGTCAATGTCGTTGCACACGAGTTCCATAGTGACTAGCGCAAAGCGTCAGTCGGGACACTTACTTGTGGTACGGTCGAGCAGTGTGCGAATGTTCCAGCACCCGATATTGAGCGCATTGCGCGGAGGCGTACGATTGCGCCGGGCGACCGCTCGTGGGGTGACCTGTATTGGAGGTAGTGGGTGATGTGAAATGGGGACTGGATTATGTGCGAGGGAAGAAGAAAGGAGGGAGACGTCAGCGGTAGCATGCATTCGTTCATCCAGCGACTGTATGCAGCCGATAAGGTGACCAAATTCGCTCCCCTTCCACTGCGGGACGGCCGATGCAGCATGGCCTTAACAGCATTGGTGTATTTCATGGTTTTGGGTTCTGACGGTTGTACTGACAGGGCGTTCATACCTGACAGGAGAACGACTCCGGTCTTCAGCCGACACCTTTAACAAGATGTACTCTGAAAGGTTGTGAGAAATGCATCATGA